CCCCCCCCCCACTCCTCCCCAATACCCCGCCCCCCTTAGGCGCTTGGAGTGTGGATGAAGCACGCGGAGGAAGAGCTGGCCGCATCGAAGACCCTCGTGGAAGAGATGCAATCCAACTTCTCGTGAGTGTCCACACGTATGATGGAAGCACCAACGGAAAATACCGGAGGAAAAGCATGGCAGTGTTCCCGTGACTCTGTTCCCCTTGCTTCTGTAGCAGTGTGCAAGGTATCATGAGAAGAAGCGAAGGGGGGCAGCACCGAGAAAGGCTGATGATTTTTACTGCAGTGTGTCAAACATATCCTGACTCCCCCCCTCCCCTGTCTTTGACTGGACAAACCAAGCGAACGGTCAATCCAACAGTCTACAATAGGGTGTTATTGTGTGTTGTGACCCAGACCTCGTCCTCCATGCCGTCCATACCGAATGCGTGACTGTCGTCGTTTGCGTTGGCTTTGGCGTGTCGGTTCGGTCGATCGTTCTGCTCTGCTGCTCTAGAGGGGCGTTGTCGTACTTCGGAGAAGATCCTGAGCTGACCCCTCAGGAGTTCTTCACGACACTGCACTCTTTCATCAAGGTATGTTGTTATGTTTTTCGGCTTCGTCTTTGTATCCTGCAGCAGCTGTGGTCGTCGCCGAGGGTCAATTAGCGGAATGATTTACGGCTGTGTACCGGTCCCAACTGCGCCACTGCCGTAGCTCGTTTTGGTGTTGCCTTTCGCCGTGCTATGGTACAGTTGTCTGTTCACGTGAAATGCCTCATCTCTGAGGCGTTCTTGCCTCCCCCCCCACCCAAGTACTACGAAACCTCTCGGGTATATTCGTACGGGGGAAGGTAGAGGAGGAGTTCACGTAAGCTCTACGGCGTCCGTTCTCCCGCGCTGTTGTAGGCCATGCCCTGTTCCCCATGCCGGGCGCATACGTCAACGCCTTTGTTGTTGTCCTGGCGTTCGTGTGCGTGTGTGTCTTTTACGGACGACGGACTACCGACGACCGACAGGCGTTCGACGAGGCGCGGGCCTACGTGGATCGCCAGGCCAAGAAGAAGGAGCAGGAGCGCAAGCTCGAGGAGAAGAAGGCCGCTGCCGCGGCGAAGAAGAAGCGCCTGGCGGAGGAGAAGCGGCGGAAGTCCGCCGAGCTGCTCCGAGCGGGCTCGACAGACTCGTCGGAAGGGGCGGCGGCGGCGGCGGCGGCGAAGGGAGGCGGTGGAGGGGCCGAAGAGTCCTCTCCTACCAAGCAAGACGGCGGGGGGAGCGGCAAGGGGCGCAGGAACAGCGGGGGTGCGAACGGGTTGCCACCGCTGGCACTAAAACCGCCGCGAAGTGGGGGGGGAACGGAGAAGGGAGTGGTGGTGGTTTCTCCGTCGAAGAGCGGCGACAAGCCGTCGACATCGTCGCCGCGTCAGCCGCCGAAAGCGGTGGTTGATGGTGGCGGAGGTGGTGTTGGCGACGTTGCGCGTGCGGCTGTGGGTGCTGTTGTGTCCGCCGCGGTTGACGCGGTCGTTGCCCGTGCCTGCGGCCAGTCGACTGAAGACGGCGGCGACGGCCATTCTGTCGATTCCGCGGTTGCTGCTGCCCTCGGCGCTGTCATTGATGGTGTTGTTGCCGGCCCGGCGGCGAAGGTGAAAGGCCTTGTTGCCGGGGAAGAAGGAGCGGCGGCCGCTGCTGGCGATGCCGCCGAGGGCTCGGGTCCGGTTGTTGCCGATGGTCCCGGCAAAGAAGAGGCTGTCAAAGTTGCTGATGCCGGTGGTGATCGCGTCCCCACCTCCTTCACTGTCCGACCCCCGCTGTGGAAGACCGTCTCGAACTCCAAGCGGCGCTCCTTCAACTCCGAGGATGCTGGCGTCGCCGACGAAGCGAGGGAGGCGGCGCTTTCCGCCACCGCGGAAAGCGTCGTCGACGCGGCGGTTGCAGCGGGAACAGCAGCAGCAGCAGTGGCGGCGGCGGCGGCGGCGGCGGCGGCGACGGTGGAACCAGCAGAGGGAGCACCAACGGAGCCGAAGGAGGGGGAGGAGGAAGAGGGCGCCGATTCGGCGAGCGCACCGCCTGCTGAACCGTCGGCTGAGACTTGTGATGGTAGCCTTGGCGACCAGGAAAAACGGGAGGAGGAGGAGCGGGCCGCCGACTCTGTTACCGATGGCGGGGCCAAGCCCGAGGGCGTAGGCGAGGAGCTGGCCGCGGTACCCCCATCCGAGCAGGAGGAGGAGGATCAGGAGCGGACCGCCGACTCTGTTACCGAAGACGAGGCCAAGCCCAAGGGCGCGGGGGAGGAGCCGGCCGCAGCGATGCCGACTGGGAAGTCAGACGAGCAGGAAAAGGAGGAGGAGCTTGCTGCCGGCTCTGTTGCCGATGGCGAGGCCAAGCCGGAGGGCGCGGACGTGGAGCCGGCCGCAGCGGTGCCGGACGGGAATTCAGACGAGCAGGAAAAGGAGGAGGAGCTTGCTGCCGGCCCTGTTGCCGATGGCGAGGCCAAGCCCGAGGGCGCGGACGAGGAACCGGCCGCAGCGGTGCCGGACGGGCAGTCGGACGGGCAAGAGAAGGAGGAGCTTGCCGATGGCGAGGCTTGCAAGCCTGAGGGTGTAGTCGAGGAGCTGGCCGCGCAGCAGCAGGAGGAGGAGGAGGAGAAGGAGCGGGCCGCCGCCGACTGTGTGGTCGAGGACGAGGCCAAGCCCGAGGAGAAGCCGCGACCTGTCGACGCTGAGCTCGGGGAAGACTCCGTCTACGGAGTTACCGACAAGGTCGGCGACGACGATGATGATGATGCCGACTCGAGCGACGACGACGACGCGCCCGTGACACGATCGATGCTCAAGCGCACCGACGCGAGCTCCGATCTCCGCGTCGACGAGCTGCTGGAGGAGCTGGCCGCCTCCAGCAAGCTCCAGGACGGCGACCCGTCAGCGAAGGAGGAGGAGGAGGAGGAGCGGGAGGAGGAGCGGGGGTTGCGGGCGACTTGCCCCCCTGAGCCGGCGATGGCAGCGGCATCTCCGGATACGGACGGGGGGGCACAGGAGCCCCCGTTGCTGGGCGAAAAGGGCAATAGCGGCGGCGGCACAACGGACGGGAAGAGCGGGGGTGATGACGTCAGTGACGCGCAGCAAAATCAAGGCTCGACTGAGGAGGTGATCGATGGGAAAAAGGGGGGGGGGGGGGGGGGG